AAAAGCGTCTGCTAAATAAATAAACATAAACAAATAAAACAAGAATCCGGCTTCAAAGTTTGGGCTGAAATCAGGAAACGCCTGAACGAAGAGGAAGTCAACAAAACTTTCATCTGTGCTGTTAAAATCCTTCTCTGCACAAGAAATACTCGGATTAAAGCAAAGTTTGTTTTGGTGAATCAATAATTACCGTATTTTCCGGAGTATAAGTCGCTCCAGCCATAAAATGTATAATGAAGAAGAAAAAAACATATAAGTCGCATTTTGGGGGGAAATTTTATTATTTTTCTTATAAAATCTGAGACCAAGCGTTTCACATTGCAAGACAAGTACCGGTAACAATAAGAGTAAACAACCAGGCAGCAGCGCGCCACGGTCTCCAGCAGAGGATGGCGGTGTTTCAAACCCTCTCAGCGGGCGGGAAGAGATCATTCCTGGGCCGGAGCCGGCCCACAGCACCCCGCCACAGGCTACAGCAGGTTATGGCGGGGCAGGGGAGCTGAAACCTGGTCCGGAGCCGGTCCACAGCAGTGAGGTACACATAATTTGCTATATAAGTCGCTCCGCAGTATAAGTCGCAGGACCAGCCAGACTATGAAAAAAAAGTGTGACTTATAGTCCGGAAAGTTCGGTACTCTCAGCTAACAGCTGGGTAATTCAAGACTGACAGTTTATTGCATAAAATTTGCTCAATCTTCTGTGAAATGTTGGAGATTTGAGCAGTTTTAAGATGGCAGAATCTCATTTTAGTCCTGTTAGCCTCAGACTAGCTGTTAGCACATCAATCCTATTGGAAATAAACTATTTCATCATACTGATGCTGTTCAGGCAGAGATTTACACGAGGTACGATAATTTAGTAATGAATTTAACAAAAATAGAATACATTTTTAATTAAAAGTAAAACAGCAACGATTAAACGCTAAAGTGAGGATTTTAGCAGAGGTGTGACCAAGTCACTGCTGTGCAAGTCACAAGTCTTTCCAGTCAAGTCCAAGTCAAAGACAACCAAGTCCAAGTCGAGTTCAAAGTCAATGATCTGGAAGTCCAAGTCAAGTCCAAATCCTTAACTTTTAATTTACAAGTCATAATCAAGTCATCTGTCCAACTTTAATGACAATGAAAATAAATAAATTCCAGAAATAAAACGTCTTAAAGCTTCATTTATTTGCTCAAACCGCAGAAAGCAGTAAATCAAACCCAGAACGAAGAATGATTCATGATTTTTGTCCATGCCGTGTTGCTTTTGTGCTAAAATATCGCATATGCTCAGTCATCATCAAGTCAACAGATGCAAGTCCATTCAAGTCGCAGGCGTTTAAGTCCGAGTCAAGTCGTAAGTCTTTATAGATTTTATCAAGTCAAGTCAGAAGTCATTAAAATAATGACTCAAGTCTGACTCGAGTCCAAGTCATGTGACTCGAGTCCACACCTCTGGATGTTAGTGGAAGTTTTCATCATCAGGTATGAAACTGAATCAGGGTGAGCCGTCGTAGCAGGCGGGTTTGGAGTTGTCAGGTGATGAAATGTGTGGTTCAGATTAGTGAGAGGTGAAGTCATGGAAGCGGCTGCGCTGCGACGTAAACAGATGTAGTTCAGAATAGATTTTAAGATCCTCCTTCTCACATATGAAGCTCTTAATAATCAAGCTCCATCATACATCAGTGATCTGATTGTTCCATACGTTCCTAACCGAGCACTTCGCTCTCAGACTGCAGGTCTACTGGTGGTTCCCAGAATATCTAAAATTAGGATGGGAGGCAGATCTTTTAGTTATCAGGCTCCTCTCCTGTGGAACCAGCTCCCAGCTTTTGTCCGTGAGGCAGACACCTTGTCTACTTTTAAGAATAGGCTTAAAACATTTTTATTTGATAGGGCCTATAGTTAAAATCTGATGTTAGCCCAGATCTGGACAAGTGGGGGAGTAGAGGGAGGTGGAGTGTACAGTCGGTAAAGACGGCTCTCCCTTGCCCTGCCTCCAACATGCCTACATCTAAATAGGATAGGTTATCCAGAGTTATCTCTGTAGTTATGCTGCTATAGGCTTAGACTGCTGGAGGATACACTGACCACTTCTCACACTCTACTACTTTCTTCTACAGTCTGCTCTTTAACTGTATTATTTCCTGCTATTTCAGCTGTTAACTTTATTTTCTCTCTAAGTGTTTTTCTCCCCAGAAGAAGCTACAACGATGTTCTGCTGAGCTGTGGTGGCCTCATGGAGGGGGCCATCGTCTAGTACACTGCTGCTAACCACTTAAACATTCTCCCTCTCCTGATAACTTTTTGCTTTCCTTGACGTTGGATGTGCTACTGCTAGTTTACCCGTTTAATTATAGATCCACTAGGATAAATACAATAAAGTTTATCTCTCGCCAAATAGAATATTTACTAAGCAATCACAATATAACTATAGACACATTACTTGTTGTGTGCGAGTCGTGGAGGATGGCTGCTTATACTGAGCCAGGATCCTCTGGAGGTTTCTTCCTGTTAAAAGGGAGTTTTCCTCTCCACTGTCGCTACATGCTTGCTTAGTATGAGGATAGCTGTAAAACTTGATGCAATTTGCTGGGTTCCATATATAGGAAACATTATTTCTGATTGGCTTAATGAACTGACCTGAATTGGAATGTTTATTATGTGAAGTGCCTTGAGTCGACACTTGTCGTGATTTGGCGCTTTATAAATAAACTTGAATTGAACTGAATGTGCATGTTTTCTACCATCGTGTGAGAACCTGAACACAGGAAACAGAAACGTTTTCACGCATCGGTGAGTCAGACAGGGACTGTTGCCGTCAGCTCAAACCCTGAATCATAATCATTTTTCTCTGATGTGTTTTGAGTGATCCAGGTGTGCTCGGCATATTTGTCTCCATAAAATGTCACCTGGCCCGCTCCCAGCCGCTGATGTCAGCCCCCTCCTGACTAACGATGAGGGCAGACTTTGGGAATGTGCTCGACCGGCAGAAACGTCTGGATGGGTGCGAGTGGTGAGTGCGAATCAAGAAAAAAAGTTTCAAAAAGTTGCTGCAAAACTAAAATGATCTTTCTGTAAAAGATCCTTTGTTCCAAAGTCAGCGCTGGTTGTTCCCGGTGTTATTATTTAATCAGATTGTCTCACTTCCTGTTCACAAAATAACACTTTCACCGAAAGCTCAGCGACGTTCCTCCTCCCAAACCTGATCTTCATCGGCCTTTCAGCTCATCTCCGTTTCTGTCCAGGTGACACGTCTGATATGTAAATACAGGAAGAGAGCGGAGATTTGCCTGCTGGATTAGACTTGGATAAGTCTGTGTGTGTTGATGGATTAGGCAACAAAGAAAGTTTATTGCTGCACATTCCTCTGCAGTTTATCAGGTGTGTGAGAGGTGCTGCCCTCTGCGCACCTTGACCTTTGCAAGTAGAAGAGAAAAGTGACAGTTTAGCAGTAAAGTCTGGGTGAAACTCAACAACCTGGCTCCTAATCTGCGTTTTATGAACTCAACTCGGACTGAGAGGGTTTCAGCGGGTCAGAGCTCAGCAGAGGAGCGCTGAGGTGGAAGGTGTTGCGTTGCGCCGCTACCTGGTGAAACACAGGTGAGGTGACTGATTAACCCGGTCACATCACAGGCTGATAAAAAACAAATCCAGGGTGCAGGATGGGATGCAGAAAGATGACTGGTGCTGCAACAGGTTGATGAGTTAAATGTGCACAGGTGGAGGACTGACTGACTAACTGGTCCTGAGTAGCCTTGGCTGTCTGTCACGACAGCGTAAGCTCTTAAAGGATGTGACCAGAAGGAGCTCGCCGCACTCACAGATGTGATCTGGACTAATTCTAGTCTTCCCTTGTGTGTGTGTGTGTGTGATTTAAGAGGGGCTAATACTTTAATTACTACAAATCCAGAGACTTTAGTAAATACTGACAGATCAGACGGACAGAAGGTTTCTTGTGACTCAGAAAAATCACCGAGTCCATAAAAATCAAGCAGGGACTAATTCTAGACGAATGACGGAGCCCTTCAGCCTTTATGGGTTTATGGGACATGAATGTAAACGAATGATGCTGAGAAAAGAGAAGCGCTACCAACAGCAGGCTCCGGTACAAACTAAAGAACGAAAGATTGAATAAAAACTTACAGCATCTTGGTTTCTGATGTCCTCGATCGTGCACAAACTCCTCGTTATCCCGTTCATCTTACTAATAAATACCTCCCCCCACACTAACAAATAAACAACAAATAAATAAATAAATAAAGAGAAGAAGGTGTCTCCCTGCTGGTGCGTCCCGCGGTAGCTGCTGCCGCTCGCTGTGCCTCTGTCCGTCTGTCAGGCTGCTGCTGCCTCTGAGGAAGCATTTTTCTCATGACGTCGTTGTGGGAGTGGAGGACAAAACCAAAGCAGCCCGCCCACAAACCCGACTCAAACATCCTAAATAGGGAACTGGGCTGACTGGGAGGAGGGCTGGGAAGCTGCTGAAACAATAACTCCACATGGGTACGGAAGCACGGAGATGCCAACCGGACAAAAAGAAATTGGAGCTGAATGGCGTTAAAACGTGTTAACTTCATATGGAATGATGTTGCATTTATTGTTCAAACATCAATTTCACATTCCCAAGATCAACAGAAGCATCGGGAATGTGATAAAGTTCACATATTATTTTGCCTGAGTGGCAGCTCTGGGCTTCCGTAGTTTCCGTACAGGGGAGCAGCATAAATAAAAAAACAAATATGTAAGAAGAGGAATTAGACAGGAACTCTTCCGCTGCACAACAACATTAATAAATGCACTTATTTTCATTCAGGTTTGACCTCTGGCTGAACTTGTACAAGAGAACTCGTCTCACCTTACAAAACGGCCAAAACCCCGAGACTTAAAGGCCGTTTTGTTGTTAAACCTCCACTACATCCCCAGCTTGTCAAAATAATTCATAACTTTCAAAAGCCTGTCGGGTCACTTCAGCCCCGCCTTTATTTATCCAAGACTTAGCCGGTTAGCTAACGCTGACGGAACATCACTCATAGAGCCACGCGGGTTTTATTTTGGAGTGTTTTAGAAGCGAGACAATGCAATAAAGCAAAAAGTGCTTTATTTGTTTCGGTTCGTCACTTTGGAGTTTGAACTTCTTGTATGAAGGTGGTTCTTGTGTAAATCTACTTTTGAGATGAAGCTCATTTAGCGCATATTTAGCTCTCTGAACCCGTTTTCTTTAACTTATAAATGAAAAAGTTCTGGTTTTGTGGTGCTGCTGGGTTTGGGGTCTCCTCTCTCATTAGTGCTGTTGGGGTGTCTTTAGAAATGGACTCAAAACGTCTCCTTTAATTTGTTTAAACAATTAAAGCGATAAAGGGAGAGAAACAGCACATGCTTACATCAGAGCGCTCATAATAGTCACCAAAAGGGTTTTAGTCGGGTAATGCCTCACCCCTACAGCCATGTTGTGTTTGGGATAGGGATGGGTACCTTTGACATTTGAATCGATTCGGTACTAATTCCCGGTACCTAGGAATCGATACCGGTACTTAACGGTACCAATTTTAGATACTTTTGAGTGTTTAATATTTTAATTCTCTTTTATAATGAAATATATATTTTTCTCAATATATAACCATATTTGATAAATATCACGATAAATAACATACAACTGTTTGTATTTTAACATCGTCCTTGTAGTTTTATAAGCTGATAATTAAACTGAAGCAAACATCTTTGCTGTGAACTAAATTTACTGTGTACCTTCATTCCTTTTGCCATCTTTTTTCATTTGATTTTTCCTACTGGGAAGTTAGAATTTCCGAGGAGAAAGCGAACGCACCATTAGCTGATAACAATGGTGGCAATGGAAGCTAGCATATCAAGCTAACGTTATCTTAAACAGTTTATTTAGCTGCTGGAGCAGATTAAAACGATGATGCCTCTCACTTAGATCGTTGTCGCTGGTTCCATCTTCACCCAATCACCCGTCGCATTTAGTAAAGTGAAGCCAAACTTTAGAGTGCGTTCATGTTCTTCTAGCCGGAGATTCGGAATTCCGAGGAGAAAGCGAACGCACCATTAGCGGAACGGAAGCTAACATATCAAGCTAGCGTCATCTTAAACATTTTATTTACCTACCGGAGCAGATTAAGATGAGGATGTCTCACTTAGATCGTTGTCGCTGGTTTCATCATCACCCAGTTAACCATCACATTTAGTGAAGTGGACCCAAGCGTTAGCGTGCGTTCTTTCTACCATGCTGCTCTGTTTACAACTGGCTCGCAGCAACCAACGTAACGCTCTTGCGCATGCGCAGCTGTCTAGGCAAGTTCTCCTTATGAAGGACGGGTACCGAAACGAGGCACCGCTTATAATTACGTGAATTGGTGCTCAGTCTTTACTGTGGAATTCGGTCGGTACCTTCAAAAGTACCAAATTCGGTACCCATCGCTAGTTTGGGACATGAGGTTTCACAACTCACAAGAATGTTTTATGATGACATGCAATAAACTTTATAGATGCTGTTTGTTTTGTTTCTCTGTGAGCTTGCTTCACAAACATTCTGTAGAAAATGGACTCGGGGTCTGAAACCTGTGGCTTGAGTGCTGTAGGGGTGGCCATGGGGCAGAAAAAGCTTTGGGGTGGCACACAGAATGGATCCTTGTAAAAACTCAAGGAAATTTTAGTCTGTAGTGATGCAATATGTGCACCTTCATTCATTTTCATAGAAAGCATTATTCATCCAACACACATCAGAATTGAAAACACAAATATTTTAGAAAAAAAGCCAGTGGGGTGTCCAGCTACCACCCCTGGCCACCCCTCGTTTATGCTACTGCCAATAACCCATGCTTGAATTTTTTTAAATACTAATAAACTCATGTTTTAAATAGTTCCACAGTTACAATAAAATGTAGTTTTAAGCTGCTTTTCAGTTTATTTCATGGAATAACATCAAATTTCTAACTAAAGCACCAGTTTTTAGGTCCATTTATGTTTTATTCCTTTTTGCATCATTTGTGTCGATACCCCATAGAAAAAAATCCATATTTTTAATGTTAAAGTTTCCCCCCTTAAATTAAAAACCTAATAATAGCAACAAAAACGTGTTTGATTTTTACAAAAGAGGAAATCTTGACTTTTCTCTCAGAAATGTCCGAATCCTGATTTTTATCTCAGATTTCTGACTTTGTTCTCATATTCTGAGAACCTTTTTTCACCAACCCTAACCTTCTTTCTGAGATATTTCTCACACATTTTCCAAAAGGTCTGCATCAGATGCAGCCCTGAGTAGGTTTTACTCTGTTGGACGTGAAGGGAAAACAGCTCTTTGGATAGTCGTCGTCTTCCTCCGCTTATCCGGGTCCGGGTCGCGGGGGCAGCATCCCAACTAGGGAGCTCCAGACCGTCCTCTCCCCGGCCACCTCCACCAGCTCCTCCGGCAGGACCCCAAGGCGTTCCCGGACCAGATTGGAGATGTAACCTCTCCAACGTGTCCTGGGTCGACCCGGGGGCCTCCTGCCGGCAGGACATGCCCGAAACACCTCCCCAGGGAGGCGTCCAGGAGGCATCCTGACCAGATGCCCAAACCACCTCAACTGGCTCCTTTCGATCCGGAGGAGCAGCGGTTCTACTCCGAACCCCTCCCGAATGTCCGAGCTCCTCACCCTATCTCCAAGGCTGAGCCCGGCCACCCTACGGAGGAAACTCATTTCGGCCGCTTGTATCCGCGATCTCGTTCTTTCGGTCATTACCCAAAGCTCATGACCATAGGTGAGTATTGGGACGTAGATTGACCGGTAAATCGAGAGCCTGGCTTTCTGGCTCAGCTCCCTCTTCACCACGACAGATCGGCTCAGCGTCCGCATCACTGCAGACGCCGAACCAATCCACCTGTCGATCTCCCGATCCCTCCTACCCTCACTCGTGTACAAGACCCCGAGATACTTAAACTCCTCCACTTGAGGTAGGACCTCTCCCCCGACCCGGAGTTGGCAAGCCACCCTTTTCCGGTCGAGAACCATGGTCTCAGATTCGATCTTTGGATCGTAAAGTTTGCAAACCCCTAAAATAGACAATCAAAGCGGACGATGCAGATGCACGACGTTCTGACCGATTCATGTAAATACCTAATTCTGCACGATGGCAGAGCCGTGTCACAGTCAGAGCGGCATGTTTAAGTCAGCTCAGGGACAAGATTACACCGAGCTTTTTGTCCGACAGCTGCTGACTGAGGTCGGAGCAGAGCTCAAAGTGGATAAAGACTCTGAAGGCATTAGAAGCTTCTGACACACAAGCAGCTCAGAGATCCACGCCAGGGACGACTCCGAGGAAATCTGAAACAGGAGACGGACGCTGAGGCGGGAAATCAATGCTTCTCAGAAAAGATTTAATTTGTAAACAGGTCAAGCTAATGTGTGACTCGCTGGTCTCCGTGGGTGTTTTATGGTTGAGTTATCACCTGAAATGAGGCTCCTGCAGAGAGACACATCTACACAAACACACCCACACACACGCCTGACCACAGTCAGACACACTGATCCAGGGATCAGGCTGCCGTTTCCAGCCGGTGTTTATACACCCACATCTGGAGCAGGTGAGTCAGACATCAGGTACAGCAAACCTAAATTATAAATGCTGAATTGTTTTAGTTTCAACCCCGTTTCCAGGATGCACACCTGTTAAAAGTTTTCCTCTCCATTGCAGCAACAAGTCTTGGGACAACTCTAGTCGTGATTTGGTGCCATATAAATAAAAATTCTTTTGTCTGTGAAATGTACTTTAGGCCTGTTTCTTCTATCAGAACGTTCGTGGCCTACACGAGTCTCCATTTGACCGGGCCAGCCCAAAAGAACCACATTCAGGGACCAACGGTGCTTTTGTTTTGGATAAGTTCTAGGAACGACCTGGGCGGGACTTGTGGGCAACTCATGCTGATTGGCTGTAACTGAGAGTGAAACGATATCAGCAGACGTCACAAGAAGAAAATAAGCAGCGTTAATGCCAGAGGTGTGGACTCGAGTCACATGACTTGAACTCGAGTCACACTTGAGTCAATATTTTAATGACTTCTGACTTGACTTGAGAAAATCTATGAAGACTTATGACTTGAATCGGCTTGCATCCGTTGACTCGATGATGACTTGAGCATATTTGATATTTTAGCACAAAAGTGGCACGACACGGACAAAAATCACGCATCATCCTTCGTTCTGGGTTTGATTTACTGCTGAATGCAGCAGCTCTTTGTTTCAGTTGCACTTTCTGCTGTTTGAGTGAATAAATGAAGCTTTAAGAAGCTTTTATTCTGGAATTTATTATCATCGTCATTAAATAGAAGGTGGACAGATGACTTGATTATGACTTGAAAATTCAAAGTTAAGGACTTGGACTTCCACATCAATGACTTTGGACTCGACTTGGACTTGACTTCAGACGTGTGACTTACTTGTGACTTGGTCACACCTCTGGTTAACGCTAGTCTTCAGGGCATGGATGGCTGTTTTTGACACCGCAGCTGATCTCCCGGGTCCCTGAGCGATGTGGGGCAGCAGTAGCTCAGGAGCTCGGTAGGAGGGTTGTAGGATCCATCCCAGCAGACCTGCTGTTGTGTCCTTGGGCAAGGCACTGTTGTTCGGAGGGACCGGTGGCGCTCCAGGGGCAGCTGTGGCTCCATTGAAGCTCATCACCACCAGGGTGTGGGTGGTGTGTGTAAAGCGCTTTGGAGTCCTCTGATACAGAAGTGCAGGCCATTTATTAATAAAGCCGGAATAAACTTTTACATTATTAATGTTGGTGGACGCCTCGTGAGTGCTGATCAGTGACGTCACTCCCGAAACGATCGTGACGTGCCGACGTCTTGGCAAAGTCCAAAAAGAGACGAAGTCTGGAGGACCGAGGACCAGAAGCTTTCTGCAGCAGCTGTGGTGGAAACACCAACGTCAGCTGTTTAAATCAACACCAACGATCTAAAACCATCAACCGTGCCGTTAGAAGGTAACGGTTTCTTATCCTCGCTGTGATTTTAGAGCAGATTCTTGGGTTTAAAATGGCGGCAGAGTCATAAGGCTGCGACCCAACGATGAAACGCGGCGATGACTGATGACCCAAGTGTTTTACAGGAAGGTGTTTCTCCATCATCAGGGCTGTGGCTCCAGCACTGTGGTCATGTTGTTTCAAAATGTCTTTTATTTTGAAATTAAACAAAAAAAAAAAACCACTCTCAAATCAAATTGGAAAGAATCTCACCTGCTGGGCTTTGTGCCCGACCTTTAATCTCGTATCTGGTGAGAAAACAGCAGTTTGAAAGCAAACATCTCATTTTCAGAATGACTTCACTTGAACGAAACACCATGTGGGGGTGTCGTCCTCTCTGAAAACCACGGATCACAGCTATTTATAGCACTGACGTACCTAAACTTCAGTTATTTCCCACAGAACCAGTGGAGGCACTTGTGATTTATTGTGTCCAAGCCTGGAAGACTTGTGTTTCTAAACCCCGGAGGTTGATGGGAACACCTCAGACTGATAAAGGCTGCTAAATATAACCACAAACCATGTCTAAATGCTACACACACCCAAGCTGTTGGCTAATCAGCGCTAGTAGCGTTTGGAAACTCGGACCCGCCCGTGGAAAGTATGTCCACCTGTGCTGTAGTGAAGCAGCAGGTTGATGCTGTGCAGGTCTGGTTACTCTGGATGTCATGGAAACCAGATCAGGTCCCGCAGGAAACACCAAACCTATTATCCGTGCTTTGGTCCGTCACACAAAAGCATCGTGGGAGGCGAGAGGGTGCTTTTGTGAAATCAGAAGCGTATTCATTCACTTGTGAAGCGTGCCCTCAGGGTGCTGCTCAGAAACAAATTCCTTAAGTGATGAAAATGTTTTTTCCAACATCCAAGGTGTTAACCAATGTGTAGATAATCGATCATTTCCCCCATAAATCATCACGTTTCACACAAACATCTCGTAGTTATGAAGAGCATTCCTTTCCCAGCATGCCTTGCCCCACGGGTCCTCCTGGAAGTAAGGCAGACGCTCGGAGCGGAGTCCAGAGTTTTTGGGTAAATCCTCACATTTGTTAGACCAAAGCGGACCAATGACTGAACAGAACCGTTCTGTAACCTGCTGCCGTCGTCGGCTCACAGGTTCAGCTCTGGGACTAAACGAAAATAAAAAACGTGAGCAAGTCAACAAACAGCAGGTGTGTGATGCTTATCTCAGCCGGACGGGTGAAAACAGCTCTGCAGCAACAGGTGAGAGCCAAAAAACCCAACAACACAGCATATTTCAGGTGTAACGTGCTGAAGGAGCTATTCCTCAAAGGTTATTCAACCTTTTCCACAGTTCCTCTGACACAGCGCCAGAGTGCATGAAACAGCCTCAAGGTCATGCATTCGCTTCTAAACTGTTTACGTTCCAGCAATGAAGACAGAAGATGAAGACTCTTTTCTTTTATTAAATCAAAGAACTCTATTTTCAATAAAGCTAATCAAAACAACTGTTAGTCAATAATACAATGTGACCGATCGGTGAAATCACAATATTATGATTAATATGCTTTAATCTAGTCCACTAGACACACTGATACACTAAGGTAAATAATCACATGACACATTGCTGTACTGATCCAATCAGAACCTTCCTAGTCTGAAGCGTGGCAAGTCTCTGTGGTGTTTATTAAATCTGTCAGCTTTGATTCGTCCAGAATCAAAAACATCCAGATTAATAAAACAGTTCCAACGCCATCTTAAGTTCAGCTCTCAAGATCTCACCGAGTTCACCTAAGCGAAGTATTGGACCGGCCATCTGTACTTCTCTTTTTAAGCTGAGAACCATCAAGCTGGGAAAAATCTGTCGTTGTTACCAACCAACAACGGTTCTTTCAGAATAAAAGCTGAACTCGCTGACCCAAGGAGGGTCCCTTTTTGACGCTGTGAACCACCTGTCGCTCTTTACCTGGAGACTATCCAAAGACTGGTTTGTCGTGCTGTCGACGCTGTACCATCGGCTCCAGTACCAGAGGAGGGTCGTGGACCTGGCATCCGGATCTGTACGGAGGTCTCACTGAGGGTATGTGGATGAGACACAAATGGCGTCTCATGTGTTTATGACTACGAGTCTCAAACTCTGATCAGTTAGGAGCAAAACATCATCTCCCACTCAGACTTTGTTTCTCCGGATGCGAAGGTTCTGAATCTGACATCATTCACACACACCATTCACCTCACACTTCATTCAAACAGAACATCCATCATTAGAGAGTTAGTCTTGTTAAACTGTTTAAAATTATTTAGTAATAAATTTCCTTAAACGTTTGAAAGTCTCTCTCTCTCTTCTCTTGTCTCTCAGTTAATGCAAAGTGTAATTTTAAAATCCCTGCAATAAAAAGATCCAATCTTCTGATTTAAATAACCCAGTGTCCACAAGATGGAATTCATACTAGATATGAATTTGTAATGTCTTATCGTCCTTAATTAAATGTAATTAACATCTATCATTACACAGACGTCCGCATCGAGTTTCATACGAAGATAAAACGTCACACAGGATCAGAGTGGAGACGGTTGAGTTTCAGAACTCCAGCGAGAAGACAAAACACACAAAAACAACAGGGATGGAAAGCAAAACATGCAGAAAACAATTAACACGTTAAAGGAATTATTACACTTCAGGACCCATAAATCACTTTTGTTCTATAAACATTTACACTTTAGTTTGTTTTGCATTAGAAAATCAATTAGTGAATTCTGAGACTGTTTACAAGCATTAATATCGTTATTACCTTATTATTACTACTATTACCAAACGTAGACCAGATATTTCTGTTGAAACAATCAGATATTTAATCAAATGATGCAAGTTTCTAAAATAAGATGAATCACACATCAACTGGTTTGAGTCGTTAAAAACCAAATTCACCCATTTTAACACATCGGCGGAGGTCTGTAGTTTCACTGAATCCTCAGAAGGAAAAAAAAGCTCTGGCGCTCGTTTCAGAAGCGAGCCAGAGCAGAGGTGAAGAAAACAACAGGATCCAGAGTCTTACTTCCTGGTATCTGGACATCTCTCCTCTGATTGGCTAACAGCAACACGACTCTACCACTGACTCTGTTTGCTCTGCAACGTTGATGTTTTATCTCCACAAATAACAAAAGCCTGGAGGAGTTCTGCTGTGTGGTGGAGTAGCTAATGCTAACGGTTAGCGTCTACTAGCAGAGACGTTCTCTGCTGTTTCCTGGACGCTAAACCAACAACAGCCTTCCCCGTCGAAAGCCAAGATGGGCGAGTCCACGAATGTTGGTGACAGTGTGACGTAGATCTGTCAGGATTTTCTAATCCTAGAGTTTCATCGTCTGTTTTCTATCAGAAGCTAATGCAGGAGATAGGTGTAGGAGACTATTTTCATGTTCAGCCTGCATGAAACACTCAGTTACTGATTATATTTAAAAAATTACATGTAAAAATAGTTTCTCACTGAACTTGGTCTTTAAAGATGGCAGCCGTTTTAAGTAGACACTTCAGACTAGCTGTTAGCTTATCAGTCCTGTAGGATGTTAACTTTATTTCTCTGAGCAGAGGCCGTTCAGGAATCTGTCAGCAAACCAGGTAAACAGTAATGATTTAAAACTCAGACACAGAAACACCCTCTGGAATGCCTCTAATCCCTTGTTTGTGCAGCGTTGGAGGTGAGCTCAGCGCTCGGCCGTGTTCCAGCAGCAGCGTTTGGGTTTTGTTTCGGAGACTTGTCTGATATTGACAATGTGCTTCAGGACGTTAACATGCAGGATCCTGTCAGCTGGCACTTCCTCAAACCTTCATCTTTAAGATCACAAGTGACCCGAGTGATCAGAAACACAGAGGAGGATTTATTAGGATCGACAAAAAAGAAAAAATATATTTATTTATATTTATTTGTTGTAAAATGTAAAGTTTTATGTCAATCGATGTTAGAAATGAAATGGTAAATAGTCTGTATTTGACATAGCGCCTTCTAGAGTCCTGGAACCCCCCAAGGCGCTTTGCAACACAACCAGTCATTCACCCATTCACACGCTAGTGGGGTTGAGCTACCATGTAGCCACAGCTGCCCTGGGGCGCACTGACAGAGGTGCCACCGGGCCCTCCGACCAACACCAGCAGGAAAGGTGGGCTAAGTGTCTTGCCCAAGGACACAACGGCAGCGACAGACTGAGCGGGGCTCGAACCTGCAACCCTCCGATTACGGGGAGTGCTCTTAACTCCTGTGCCACCGTCGCCCCCTCATGAAAAACACCTCATCTGTAATAACACCCTGAGTCATTATCATTATTCCTCAGACGGGCACACCCTCTGGACCACCGCGCAGCCCCGATGATGCACACCTTCACCGACATTTTAGCGTTCTCGCTAACAGAGCAGCGCTGACCACATCTGGAGAGGCCATGGGGTTGTGTCGGTAGCCCCGTCGGTAGCGCTGGAGCCTCGTAACAAGAAGGTTTGAATCCCATCTGCAGCTGCTCTGCGTAGGTCGCTCATGCACGCGCGGGTGTTCTCCCACAGACCAAAATCCTGCCTGTTCAGGCTAGTTAGAGCCTCTGACCCACCTGTAGCACCTGTGAATGTTTTACATGAAACTCACAGCCATGTCCGGAGTCTCCGTCTGAGTCCCACCATCAACCACGAGTCGCCCTCGTCAACAACTCAGCAGTTTCAGTCAGGATTTCTGCAGCCAATCAACAGGCTGCGATACACAGACGGGCAGAAAAAGCATTCAGGGCTAAACCTCAACAGCAAATCTGATATTACTGAAGAACCTGATTCCCCTTTCAGGGACAACAGCTTTGAGCTACTTCAGTTTAGTCAACCTAACGTCCAGCTTGAGGTAAAACAAACGGATAAAACTCCAAATAAAAGCTGGTTTTCACTGCATTTGTTGGTTCTGAGTGAAAACCTAAAGAATCTCTCGTCACAGGAACATTTATAAACGAGTCGGTGGATCTCTCAGCCTTCAGAAAGGAAAAGAAAATGGAAAATCAGGCGATTTGTTCCAGGAAAGACTCAACCTGATAGCTGTGTTATTAAATGCTCCGGTGGGAACAACTAGGTCTGCTGCTAGAGGCCCTGGAGCCAGGAACACAAAGGTGCTCCGTTAGCTTCCTCTCCCGTGTGTCTCCAGACATGTGAGACGTAGCAGATCGCTTTCAAACGTCCTCCTGTCGTTCTCTCATCGTGTGATTGTTGCACAGAGCTGCAGACTCAGTCGTTAATGTTTTCCAGACCTGATCTTTTCCCTAGAAGCTTCCAGAGAAATGTCCCAAACGGGACGGTTAACTAGCAGGCGGTCCCGCTGGCGTAACCCCGGCTTTCCACCGGAGCCGTCAGCAGCACGTTACTGCAGCAGCACGTCTTGCTTGCGTAAGCTGCTGCTTGGTCCTTCCCACGAGACGCGAAGCAGCAGGGGAGCAGCTGTCACCGACCGAGCACGAAGTCACACGAGTGACGTCGTCAGTAAACACAACAACAAGCAGGAGAAAACTACAACATGGTTTGTGTTTTATGTTCTGTCCGTTTTATAATCGCCAATACGGACCTGAAAAACAAAGGAGACCGCTAGCTAGGTGATAACTTCTCACGGGGACACACAGTTAGTAACGTTTTTTAAAAGTAAAGCAACCGGAAGGCAGTACGTTCTTTATTCTGAAAATCTCGGGAGCTTCTCTCCATTTCCGCGTCCGATTTCCTGTCTTTCCTTCCCCAAAAATGTCGAACTTGACCCGTTTCAGAGGCGTCGCACGTAGAAAATAGAACCGGCGCGTAAAGGCCGCGACATGCTGCTCCTGAGACGCGGCCGACTCGCGCTGCTGACGGCTCCGGTGGAAAAGGTTCTGTTGACCACAGCGGTTCCTATCAGCAGCTATGACGTGCTGCTGCAGTAACGTGCTGCTGGCGGCTCCTGTGGAAAAGGTTCTGTTGACCACAGCGGTTCCTATCAGCAGCTATGACGTGCTGCTGCAGTAACGTTCTGCTGACGGCTCCGGTGGAAAGCCGGGGTTAACCTGCCTCGGTGGGTCTGAGTCACAAAATACACAAACAACACGAATGCGTTTACATTTAAATATTTATTGTTGCTAAATCACTTCACAACAGAGAAACCACGTGGCGGGCGGGAAATGTGTGAACCAGCATCTTTACGGAAGACCGCGTCCGGCGGTCCCGGTTTACATCTTCGGACGATCGATCAGAAAAAATCTACAGTTTTAAATTAACTCAGCAGGAAAAATCTCTGAAGCTATTCGGCTACAAACTAAATAAACAAGTATAATTTTGAAGTTTTAATTCAACAACAGTAAATAAAAGCTGCAGCGACTCGTCTGGGAACGCCGATACCGAGCAGCCAGGAGACGCTTCAGCTCTTAAAAAAAACCCTCTCTGATCAGGTCTACTCCAACCCTAACGCAGCCTTATTTAGGAACTCGGGGACAAATAACTAAAAACGCAGCTGTGCTCTTTTCTCCGCGGCTAGAAACGTTTGTGACGTCGGCGTTCGACCGCGGTGCAGCAGGAACTTCCATCAGACGGAGGCGGAGCCTCAAATCAACAGGAAAATGATGGGGTGGTTTTAAAGTTTCAGGCGAAGCGTGCTTCGGCGGTCATTCTGTTGTCTACGTTCATCGTTGTGTTTATATTATGGTTTTGTTTCTGATTGATACCAAAATCAACGGCTGACGCTCGTCACGTCTGCTGCAAACGTCCAGCTCTCTCTCCTCTCCGCTCCTCTCCGCTGGTGAAGTACCAGAAGTGAGTTTAATCAAAGTGCAACAAGCTTTAAAACATTAAAGTCTAGTTCTGAAGTATTTTCACACTGACTGTGCACCAAAGAGGCTGAGTCACTGTGTGGGGAGGACGACCTTCTGTTGTGTGGTGTAAGTGCATGAAACAGGAGCAGGATGGAGGAAATTCCTTTAAATGTTGACGTTTTGTTTCCTTACATTCATCCCAGAGTGGAACGCCACCTCCGCAGGGATCCGCTCTGTCCCCCACGGCCCTCCCGCTGTGTGCAGTCACGCCCTACCGTCCTCTGGCCTTTCCCCAGGTTACAAACGCCTCACTTCTTTCTTTTGTGAGGCGGCGTTGTGAGCTCCTGCTCTCTCCCTGCCGCTCTAGCAGGAGCTGGTCTGGAGGTTGCTCTCCGTGAGGATGGAGGTGATGGTGGACGAGTCGTACAGGCTGTCGTCGTCCTCGTCGGAGCTGAGAGCAGACGAATCCAAAGCCGGGCGTGTTACAGTTTTCCTCCTGTGAGACAGAATTATCTTTAGGATCTGAATGGAGACTCGAATAAAGGCAGCCGGAGAGCTCCCCCTGCTGGACACGCAGCGTAACAACACGTGAAGTTTGGCTGAATCTCGGGAACAGCGACATGCTGGTGTGTCCTTTAACCCTCTGGGGTCCAGGGTGTAATTTGCCGTTTTTGACTCATTTTGGTTTTTCTTTTGTATTTTCTAATAAAAAAAATAAATATTGCCTTATGGCAGGGGAGTCAAACTCAAACTCACACGGGGCCGAAATGAAACTCTGGGACGGAGTCGAGGGCCAAACTTAATATTTTTGAAAAAGTGACGGCAAATTTGCACATTTTCTTTATCAACATATATGCAATTTTGAACCTTTAAATTTGGAAACAAACATATTTCTGCATTAAAACTGAATGTGGAATAACCAAATTACACACGAGCAAGTCAGTTTTAAATAAAAGGCATCAGTGGTATTCATTAATTGTGGTATAATCAGCATTTTTTAAATCTATTCAGGATTTATGTTTTCTTGTTTTTTTCTCCTGTAATACGTGTCATCGCTGCTGTGACGTCTAGCTTTCCCCACTGAGGAACAATAAAGGGATTTTCTATTCTATTCATCTATCTGCAGCCTTTCCACTTCCTGTTTACTGTAGGTTAAATCTTTTCTCACGGGCCAACAACAAAATAAAAATATCATTTTATCTTAAATGAAAATGCAACATCTCACCTGTTAACTTTCATGTTTTGGAGCAGAAAAAGAGCATAAAACCAACATATTTAAAGCTCAGTTTGCTCCACTGGTTTACTGTGATGCTCACCTGTTCCAGCCAGATACCTGCATCATGGGGTTGATCTGAGCTGAGGAGGAGACTCCTGTTGTTTTGTTCATCTTCATCATAATAATGACAACATTAGATGACAACAGGTGCTCACATAGGTTTGTGCTGCTGAACATGTCTGAGCAGCTTGACCACGTTGTTGTGTGTCGGGGAGGAAACACAACCACAGAGCCGTGCTGGTTTGAGCGTGTGGCTGCTCGCTGGAGTTATATCGGCTCTGTCTGGAAGTTAGTTGGAAAACTTTTTGTTTCAGTCGTGAACACATTACTGAGCGGCTAGAATCTCCGTTTCTGGGCTTCAACGTCAGAAAATAGCTGAGTGAACTCGGCGCTGAGTGAGAGGAGAGTAGTTTGTCAGAGACAGCGGAGCTGCAGAGACCGGCAGCAGGCGCTGGAAAAAACACAAAGGAGGGGGCTTCGTCGGCTCCGCGCTGACGCCGCAAAGCATCATGGGAGTTGAAGTCTTTGCGGTAAAATCGGCCAGCGGGCCAGTTTTAATATATTTTTGATATTTATCTCACGGGCCACATAAAAATGCTCCGCAGGCCGCATCTGGCCCGCGGGCCTTGACTCTGACATATGTGCCTTATGGGGTATCATTTTTTTCAGGACAACCTGGACTGAATTTATACTTATTTTATTAATTTGGCAATAACATACATGCATTTTGGAGTGGGGAGTGGCTGTCTCGCCGCGGAGATCGAGATCTGACAGCGCCGCCCACTCCTCTTGTTGGATCTCCGAGGAGCTGCATCTCTGCCTTCATCCTCTACCTCATCATGACCCAACTCTTCTATGAGGAAGGATGGATCTGCCACATCGTCATCAACATCCTCGCTATTTGCCTCAGACTCCGGCTGTGAGTCTCCGCCCACTTCCTCTGCTTCCAGTTCAAAAAACAGCCGTACTATCTGAACTGCCTGGTGGACATTTATCCTTCTCATCATCGTTTATATAAGCCTAATAAAAGCCTACTAAACTGCAGAGACAATAAATCTGTCCGGATGTTCCAAAATATGAAGTTTACGTCAACATCTGTCTAACTGTTTGTTGTTACTCCGTTCGCATCACTCCTTTCCCCGCCAAGCGGCTCCTTTTTACGCACATCTCGTTACTCGTGCGGCCTTCCTCTCTCTCTCTCAGCTACATAATGATGCTTTTATCAACTGAATATGTGAGACTTCCACCAACAGCAACAGGATCTCATGTTTTTATGTTCACAAGCACATTCCCTCTCACGGATTACTAAACTGCTGCTTACACAAGTTATCAGATTGTCTAAAAATTAGGGATGCACCGATCAGGTTTTTTGTTGCCGATCACCGAAACCGATCACGTGGATTGGCCAGAAATTTTCTACAACATTATAATGAGTGCTACAAACTACATAATCTGGGAATAAAGGAAATGTAACCTAATCTAAAATTGTCTGTATTAGGGTCGTCACGGTGTGAAAATTTAACCTCACGGTTATTGTGACCAAAATTATCACGGTTTTCGGTATTATCGCGGTATTTTTTTTAAACGTGTTACATTTTCAGACATCTAAATAAACCCTGTATGTCAGGAAAATATTGTCCTCAGTTTGTGTCTAAATTTTGCCTAAAATGTGTTATTTTGTAATTATGTTGTTTATTTGTTTACATTTTCCCGTTTAGTCTTTAAAATACCAATATTTGCCCATAACTTCTAATTTTATGTCTGTTTGATGTCATCATTTAAAAATATTAGATCAGATGATACTCAGTACTCAAGTATACTTCTAAGCAGATACTTTTTTACCCTTACTTGAGTAATAAACCCTATATCAGGAAAATATCGTCCTCGGTTTGTGTCCTTCCAGTGAGCTTTGCAGATGTGGGAAAATGTCATCAGGCAGTAATCGTTGTTAAATTCATAATTATTCTCGGAGAAAGACCAACTCTTATCTGCCCCAAGACGGTTATTATTATTGTCAACTTTTTTTTAATCGGGGTTTACCGCTACACCGGTTACCGTGACAACCCTACCTGATCGGTCTGCTTTGATCTATTTTGAAAACTCCGATCAAAACCGATAGGGGCGCTATCGGCCGATTACGATCAAATGCCGATCCATCGGTGCATCCCTACAAAAATAGGTCGTTTTTTAGTTTAGTATAACTCCGCTTTTACGTTGCCTATTAACAAGTTTATAATCTCCTTTTTAAAGCTGAATTGAAACCAAAACTCAGGGAGGCGGAGTCTTGCTGCTACAGCGTCCCAAACCAGACCTGTTCAAACGACGCGGGTACGCGTCCGTGGACCCCAGAGGGTTAAAGGTGATGTCATCTCTCCCAGCAGCCCGGGTCTGCTCACCAGGACGTGTCTGACAGCTAAACCTCAACATCAAACAGAAGCGCTTACTTGATATTGGTTTCCAGAGCCGTGACTCTGGCCTGCAGCGCCTCTCTGAGCTCCACCTGCTCCTCCACGTCTCTCTGGGCTTTCCTCCTCAGGGCGTCCATCCTCTCCAGCTCGGTTTCACTCTCATCCACCTGCCGCTTCAGCGCCTTCACCTTCAGCAAAAGCTGGAACACAAACAAGTTCACGTCTTTGTGTTTCATCCTCCTAAACGCTGACGTCATCAGCCATACCTGGTCTCGTTGTTCCGTGTGCACGTGTCTCTCCTCGTCCAGCGTCATGTTTAGTTCCTTCAGTTTCCTCTCCATGCGGCGCTGCGACGCCAACACCGAGTTCTTCTCTCTATTAACAGCAAACACAAACACTTTTGGAGCTGAACATTATTTAAACCTTCACTCATGTTGTGCTTTACCTTTCCTCGGCTCTCAGTTGATCTTCCAGCTCCTGGACCTTGTTTTCCAGCTGGGAGACTCCCACTGATGAGCGGGAATGTCCTTCCATGTCAGCGAGGCGGTTCCTCAGCTCCTTCAGCTGCAGGAACAGCAGCATTTAGCCCCGCCCCTTTGAAGCGACGGTCTGCAAACATGAGGCGGTCTTACGTGTCTCTCCATGGCGTTCTTGTCCAGCTCCAGGTCCTGCTTGGAGGACCTCTCCTGCATGAGCTCAGAGCGCAGCTGATCAATCTGGTCTCTGCTCCGGGCCACTCGCTCCGTCAGCATCTCCACGGTGCTCCTCTCCTCCTCCAGCTCCAGCTCCACGCGCTTCAGCTTGTCCTGAAAACAGACCAACGCTCATTCCAGTCCATAAAACTAGCTTGTTTTAGTCTCAGGAGGAACTTGGGGAATCCCCTCGTGAGCGTTAAGAGGGGGCGGCATGACCAGACATGGTTGAGGCGGACACGAACACCTGGGTACGGACAGGCGGGATTCATCATCACTCGATTTTGGAGGAACGCGCGTAGGGCTGCACAATATATCGAAAAATTATCGGCATCGTGATAACAGGACGTGCGATAGGCCCATCGCAAAGCACGTCAAAAACGGCGATAAATGTTTGGTTCAAACATTTCCATCCGTGTCATACATCAACTTTTTGTAAACCAGCTCTGTTTTTTTACGCGGAAGTATTATTTGACCAATCAAATGTAGCCCTTCTGATATGCGGCCAATCAGATGGGTCCGTTCACGTAATACGCCCGCCCCCTACGTAGACCCTTAGGATGGAAAGCAACAACCGAACTGAGTTAGCGGCGCCGTTCCCTTGTTCGTCATGCTGGCTCAGAGCAACGAACGCACTTTGTGCTGAGGTTTCTGGAATCAGCGCTGCTTTCAAACGTGAACGTGAGTCCGCTCGGTGTCGTTAAGCAGCTGATAGTAACCGGGCTGACTCCGACACGTGCCGGTGAACCAACCCACCGTTAGCCCCAGGCTCCGGTTAGCTTCCAGCTAAAAGGCTACAGCACTCTCCTCCCAGTCCCACCCTGCTAAAGAGGGCCTGGAAAAGTTCCCCCACACATCAAAGTGATTTTTCATTTATGAGCTTTTATAACCTTGTTAATCAGGATAGTTGATTTGCTGCTGCACATAAACTGTCAGTCAGAAGCTCTGCTAGCCGGTTATCTTAGAGCAGCTTGTTCAATTTGTTAGCTTGTTATCAGAATCATAGTTGCAGTTTCATCATCTGAGCTGCTTTTTAAGATCTAGGTAAACTTGTTCAATTTGGGGTTAAAAACAAACGTTTTCACATATTTTCCATGTAGTTTTTTGCCAGTTCCTCTTCTGAAAGGTAGACAATTGTTTTTCTCTTTCCCTCAGAAAATCTTAATATTCTCCTAGTTTGGCCCAGCCCAGTTCACTTCCCAGTTACAGCAACAGCCTTATATCATAACCACATAAGTGGAGAAAATGTTCAGTAGCAATGAGAGAAATAGCTGTTGCATGTAAGTGATGTTAACTATTATTTAACATTTAAAATTATTTTTTGATTTTTTTTATTTATTCAAAAACCCTGGTAAGGGATGTTTTTCTGTATTTGGAGCATCAGAAAAAGTTTTATGGTGGAGGTGATGTTTTAAAGTCACTGGGAAACTGCATGCATGCACATGTCACAGTTCGCTTCCGGTCGGCAACAAGATGGCGCCTGTGCTTGGCTTAGCCACGGTCACCGGCCACTTTTTCAAACTTTTCTCCACTAGCCTCCTTTTCCACCTTGCTCCGGTCTGTGATCTTCTTCAGTAGTGTCCCTGCTACCATCTCCTATGATCGCCAGACTCTTCTCTCCTTCCGTTCGTTCACGATCGCCCAAGACGCACCGAGGATGTACCTCCCTGTATGTTTACCTGAGCGGCGCAGTGGCCCGGAGCCAAACTACGGTCCCGATCTGAGCACCTCCAGCGATGTTTGTCCGGTCCCAGGAAAACGTCGGAGGAAAAGAGGTAAACGAGCAGGAATCCAGGTGAGAATAAGACTTCTCTTAAAGCGTGGTTTATCTGGTAAACATCGGCGAGATCTTCTAGCTTCTTGTCCTTTGTTTGGTGACCTGAGCGCCACTTCCGCATTCCCGCCAGGCCGCGTTGCAGCGCGGTTCATCCGTCCAAGTTTTTAAGGTCGGTTTATCCTCATTCCTCAGTGGTTTCTCCTCCTGTTCCCTCCATAAGTGGTTTTTATAAACACCGTGGATCTAACCCTGCTAATTTACGTCCACTAACTCCAGCTGTTTGTGAAGTTTCTGATTCCTCCACCTCACTCAGCATGGCTCTATTAAACACTCGCTCTGTTAACAATAAGACCTTTCTGCTCAAGGATCTAATTCTCTATAAAAACCTGGATTTTCTGTTTCTGACTGAAGTTTGGCAGCAAATATCTGATTATTCTGCTCTGATTGAACTCTGCCCGAGTGGTTATTCTTTTCTTATCCAGCCCCGGGGTTCTGGTCGTGGTGGAGGCCTAGCTCTTGTTTTCAGAGACCATCTTCCATGTAGCTCTACAACCTCTGGTCACTTTGCTTCTTTTGAACTGCAGCTGATTAAAGTCGGGCGTAAGGACCCGTTCTACTGTGCTGTGGTCTATCGTCCACCTGGTCCAAACAGTTCTTTCCTTCAGGAGTTTAGTGACTTTCTATCCTCCACTGTGAAGCTGTCCAGACTGGTGATTGTTGGTGACTTTAACATCCATGTTGATGATCCCTCTGATCACTTTGCCATGAATTTCTCCAGCCTTATGGACTCCTTCAGCCTTACCCAGCATGTTTCTGGCCCCACACACACCAGGGGGCACACTCTGGACCTTGTTTTTACCCTGAGTCTAAATGCTGACAGTGTTTGTCCTGAGGAGGTTTATATTTCAGATCACCGTTGCATTTTCTTTAACTTGACAGTTTCTGCGTCCCCACCTCCTGCTCGCCGTATGGTTAGTTCTCGTTTTCTTAATGAGAGCACAGCTAGCTATTGTTCTGCTGCTTTTGATCCACCCTGTTCTTCTGATAAAGACCCAGATTCCTTAACTTCTCAGTTTAACGAGCACTGCCTCTCCATTCTGGACAACATCTGTCCTGTCAGAACCAGATCAGTTCCTGCAGTGAACCCTACTCCCTGGTTTAATGACAGCCTTCGCAGCCTGAAGCGCCAATGCAGAAGAATTGAGCGTTTGTGGAAGAAAACCCATCTCCACGTCCATCTGCTGCACCTAAAGGATCTTCTGGCATCCTTTAACTCTGCAGTCAGAGATGCCAGGGTTTCCTATTTCTCCAACCTGGTGTCCCAGAGCAAAGGGAACCCCAAGATGCTGTTTAACACCATCAGCAGCATCGTCTCTCCTGCCTCTCCTACAGCCTCCATCCACTCTGTTGCAGACTGTGAGAACTTTCTGTCTTTCTTTGTGGACAAAGTCAATAAGGTTAGATCTAGCATCTCTCCTTCAGCCTTATCGCTGCCTCTCCTGACTCCAACCAGGCCCATCATCCTAGATAGCTTTGCTCCTGTTTCTTTGCCTGAGTTAACCAAACTAGTTAACTCTATGAAGACCTCTGCATGCCCCCTCCACATCTTACCCTCATCTTTGTTTAAAAGTGCTTTTCAGTCCATCGGTCCCAGCATGCTCTCTATAATTAATGCTTCTCTGGTCTCTGGTCAGGTCCCTGCTTACTTAAAGAACGCTGTAATCCACCCGCTTCTTAACAAACCGAGTCTCGACCCCTCTCTCCATAGCAGCTTCAGACCCATCTCTAAACTTCCGTTCATCTCCAAGATCTTGGAAAAGGTTGTGGCTAAACAACTCACAGCTGCTCTTGATGAACATAACATCTGTGATAGCTTCCAGTCAGGTTTTCGTAGAGTTCATTCTACTGAAACAGCTCTTCTTAGGGTCTCTAATGACCTTCTGACTCACAGTGATGCAGGGGACTGTTCTGTTCTGGTCCTGCTGGACCTGACTGCAGCCTTTGACACTGTTGACCATCACCTGCTACTGGAGAGGCTGAGAGACTGGGTAGGCCTATCAGGATCTGCTCTGGAGTGGTTCTCCTCTCATCTCTCTGAGCGCTCCTTTTCTGTGGCCGTCTCCAAGTTTAGGTCCTCCAACAACTCTTACCCATGGTGTCCCACAAGGTTCTGTGCTGGGGCCTCTGCTCTTCCTCCTCTATCTGCTTCCTCTTCAGCACATCCTGAGCTCCTTCAAAGGAATCTCCTACCATCTTTATGCAGATGACATCCAACTGTACATCTCCTTTAAGCCCCATGAGATGTCTAAGCTGCAGATGTTACACACCTGCTTAGACTCTATCAAAGCCTGGATGGTGGGAGCTTTCTTCAGCTGAATGAAGATAAGACTGAGATCCTCATCTGTGCCCCAGACAAGCTGGTTCCCAAAGTCAGAGAGACTCTTGGTCAACTTGCTTCCCACACCAAACTTTCTGTCAGGAATCTTGGCGTGACCTTTGACCCAGCTCTCACCCTGGATTCTCATGTCAGTTCTCTTGTTGGCTCTTCCTTCTTCCATCTCAGGAACGTTGCTAAGCTGAGTCCCATTCTGTCCCGCTCTGAACTTGAGACAGTTCTCCACACCTTCATCTCCTCACGCTTAGACTACTGTAACTCTCTTTTCACGTGTCTGAGCAGAACCTCCCTGAACCGTCTACAGGTGGTTCAGAACGCCTGTGCTCGGCTTCTGACCAAGTCCTCCAAACACACCCACATCACCCCGCTTCTCCTCCAGCTTCACTGGCTGCCAGTCAACTTCAGGGTTCATTTCAAGATCCTGGTTCTGGTCTATAGGGCCTTACATGGACAAGCACCATCTTACACTGGTGATCTTCTTAGTCCCTACACCCCCAGCAGGTCCCTGAGGTCCAGTGACCAAAGCCTACTGGTTGTGCAGCACCAGGCTAAAGGTCAAAGGTGACAGATCATTTGCTGCTGTGGCCCCCAGACTCTGGACCTCTCTCCCCCTGAGTCTGAGATCAGTGGACTCAGTGGTCTCCTTTAAAAGGCAGCTGAAGACTCACTTGTTCAAGCTGGCTTTTGTATGACCTTCTTCACCACTCTCTCTTTATTCTGCTCTCCCCACCTATTCCACCTTCCTCAGGATCCACTGATTCCCCTCTTTCCTGTTCACTCTCTCTCTTTCTTAACATTTTTTGATCACAATTGTCTATTTTTGCTCATTTTAAATATATTTTTAAACATTTTCTAAGTTTTTTAAAAATATTTTTACATTTTTTGTTTTTGTGAAGCGCCTCGTGATTTTTATCTTGAGAGGCGCTATAGAAATGATATTTTCTTCTTCTTCTTTGTTGTTTTGCTGCTAATACAGTAGCAGGTGCAGCTGCATATTTTTTCAATAAAAATGTTATGTTGTAATGGAATTACAGAACCCAGAGCAGACGTCACACGCCAGACAACATCAACACTGCATACTTTATTATTTGTTCATTTATCTTGAGTAATATCGATATCGCAATATTAAGCACTGTTATCGAATATCGCAGGGTTTCCTAATATCGTGCAGCCCTAAACGCGCGTGCGACTGACAACCGACAGTTTCATAAATCAGGATTTTGGCTGTTCGTACGAACGTTCTAGATTCCTAAGACGGAATATCGGACAGTTTCTACAAACGTTTGATGAAGGAAGGCCCAGAAGACGAGCAGGAAAAGGTCTTACGTCCAGGATGCGGATCTCCCGCGTTTTCTCCCCCAGGGTGTTTTTGCTGGCCTCCACCTCTCCCTCCAGGTGACGCAGCCTGTTGGTGAGAAGCTCCTTGTCCAGCTGGTGGTTGTCTCTCTCCTCACACACCAGCTGAAGCTCCTTCTTCTGCCGCGACGTCTGGTTAAGTAAAGTAGTGTTTTAGAGGCAGAAATAATCCACTCAGGGATTACTTTCTTCACACTCGACAAAACTTCGTTAAAGAAAAGTGAGAGAAACACTCGTTGGTACAAACTTCTTCCTCCAGCCTCCTCAGGTCCAGATCGTTCCTCTCCAGCTCGGATTTGGCCTCGTTTCCATGACGCTGTGCCTCCTGAACCTCCCTGCGAGTTCGCTCTTTCTGCTCCTCCAGCTGAGACCTGAGAGCCTGGTTCTCTTCTTTTAGGGATGCGTTCAAAGACTCAACCTGACGGAGAAACAAAAGGGGAAATGTTTAAACCCTGAGCTCCATGATGAGCAGCGAACAGAAAGCAGGTCTTTGCTTTATGTGAAGAGATCGGATCTTCGTACTTCTCTGTTGAGCTTCTCCAGAGCTCTCTCCTGCTGCCGCTTGCTCTCCTCCAGCTGGCCGACGTTCTGTTTCAGGGTTTCCTTGTCTCGGTCTGCAGCTTCCAGACGTACGGCGACCTCGTGGAGCTCCTGGGTCAGTCGGGAAGCTTTTCTCTTGGCCTCGTCGAGCTCTGATCTCAGGCCTCTTACCTCTGAGTGGAGGGCGAGCTCTGCCTCTGAGCTCTCTGTGGCGTTGCTCTGCAGCTGAGCCTGAGTAAACGAAAAGGGAGATCCGCGTTTCTACCACCACCAGGGTATCAAACAAACCTTTATTTACACTTTACTACCTCTAATCTGGAGAGTTTCTCTCTGAGACGAGTGTGAGTTGCCTCCTGATCCCTCTGAGCATCATGGAGGCCATTGATGTCCGTCTGAGCTTTGTTCAGGCGACTTTTGTACATTTCCAGCTCCTCTTCGTTTAAGGAGAGCTTCTCTTTCAGCTGGCTGGCTTCACTTTGAGCCTCGACGAGCTTCTGCTCCAGATCTGAGAGGGCCGCCTGGCTGGGGAGCTACAAGGAGGAGAGAAAAGCAGTTTAAAGGAGTAAAGGGACATCACCCTAAACCACGACGCAGTCCCTTTAGGGCGAGATCACACCAACCCGTTTATTTTTCTCCTGCGCCTTGGCAAACTCCTCTTTGGCCTTCTGCAGCTGCTCCTTCAGCCGGTCCATTTCATACCTCAGCTCAGCCTCCTGGTTCTGCTGAGACTTTTTAATGGAGATCACCTCCATGACCTTCTTGTCAAACTCCGTTCTCTGGTTCTGCAGCTCAGACTTGGTCTTCTGCAGATCAGCGCTGCATCTCTGGAGCTCCTGAACAGTTAGGGCTCGGGTTAGGATGAATCTATGCTGCGTGACTGATCCTGTGGCTTTTACTCCACCTGGCTGAGCGCCTCAGAGGGCCTCGGCTCCGGCGTCTGCAGCTTCTTTGCGCCGATTCGGTCCTTAAGCTCCTTTAGCTCGTCCTCAAGCTCCTCTCTCTCCAAACGGAGTTGCAGAAGCCTGAAAAACGTTTTCACGCAAACCACCAAAGTATAAACAATAATAATAAATAATTCAGGTTGCATTTATGGGAACAGGAGTTTGCCAAAAGTTTTCACCAAGCACACACACAGACACCCCCTAACCCCACACACACCTCTGTGGGGCGTTCAGGGGCCTCATTCATAGAGCTGCTTTTGCACCCAACGAGGTCTGAAAACGGCGAAAGTGACTTTCTACACAAACTTTCTGATTTCTAATGAAAATCTTGATGAAACGTTACAACTTGAAGCAAACGTTGGACCTGAAGCGAGCTCATTCTGGAGACGGGGAGATGATGACACACGCACACACAGATCCAGCAACAGCCCCCAATCTCTGAACTGAGAATAAAACTGGCATCCGTAATTAAAATATGATGTTTTTAAGATTTTACTTTCAAGTGAACTATTGGACGCGCGGCTCTGTGAATCAAACTAAAGTAAAACGAGCCGGACCGAGGCACACCTGCCGGGGGTTCACAAACCCCGACCGATTGCTGGGCTTAGGAATGCGTTGGTGAAATTCTCGCGATAAGATCCGCATCACGACACAGCGGAGATGATAAGATGTGTCGCGATATATTCAGACTAGGGTTGTCACGGTAACCGGTGTAGCGGTAAACCCCGGTAAAAAAGTTGACAATAATAATAACCGTCTTGTTTTTTAACAACTATATTATCTCGGTGGATTAGCGTGGCTGCGGTGTAGGCGCGGTGACCCTTACCAGCCACCGTATCATCTGCTGAAGTTGCCGGCGGCACATGCGCACTTTGTTGTTTACAACCAAAACTTTCTTGAAGCTAAAGCTGAAATAATGGCCAAAGGAGGAGACGGCAGCGCTCAGGACATTTATTATCCCTCAAAGAAGACAAAGTGGGAAGTACGGGCATGTTTTGGATATGTGAAGAATGTCGAGGGACAGTTGATAGAAGACGGCTATCCTGTTTGCAGCACGAGCAGAAAAAGTGTCTGTGAAAGGCAGCAACGCTTCAAATCTCATGACACATCTGTGTGACCATCACCCACAACTCTACAGTCAACGCAAGGCAAGCTAACGTTAGCGTTTTAGCTAAAATGCGTGATCCGAGGATTTGGGTTGAGGGAGAATGCAACGAGTGGCTATATAAAGCAGCCGCAGCGCCGCTACCTGCATATAAACCGTGTCGCGGACACCGCCATGTTGAAATGACGCTATGCATTACGGGGCTCCCAGGGGCAGATAAGAGTTGGTCTCTCTCCGAGAATAATTATGAATTTAACAACGATTACTGCCTGATGACATTTTCCCACATCTGCAAAGCTCACTGGAAGGACACAAACCGAGGACAATATTTTCCTGATATAGGGTTTATTACTCAAGTAAGGGTAAAAAAGTATCTGATTAGAAGGCTACTTGAGTACTGAGTATCATCTGATGTAATATTTTTAAATGATGACATCAAACAGACATAAAATAAGAAGTTATGGGCAAATATTGGTATTTTAAAGACTAAAGGGGAAAAATGTAAACAAATAAACAACATAATTACAAAATAACACATTTTAGGCTAAATTTAGACACAAACTGAGGACAATATTTCCTGATATACAGGGTTTATGTAGTTGTCTGAAAATGTAGCCCGTTTAGAAAAATACCACGATAATACCGAAAACCGTGATCATTTTGGTCACAATAACCGTGAGGTTAAACTTTCACACCGTGACGACCCTAATACAGACAGATGTTAGCCATTTTTAGACTAATTCATTGTAGGAAAATTCAATAAAAAGTCCTAATTGAAACTTAACACGTTTAAATGAGGTATCTGAACCATAACAGAGGGATTTACGTTCCAATGGTGGAAACTAAACCCACGGCACACTGCTGCCACCTAGCGGTCAAAGTTTGAACTGCACCAAAACAACAGAAAATAAACAAATGTTTGCAAGAAAATTCTTCCAAAAATGAGATACACAGCTTTTGAATATCGATATAACATTGCTGGAAAATAAATCACGATATATTGCCATATTGATATTTTCTTACATCACTAGTTAAGCTGATTTTTGTTTGATATGAACCGTATTTCCTCCCTAATGGCGTTTTGGGTTAAATATTCCCTTTAGATCTGGAACATCCATGATCCTGCGCACCTACTGCTGCTTTTATTGATTATATCAGTGATTATCGCCATCTTAGGCTCCATCTGACCACTTCCTGTTACGTCTTAATTTGTTTCCTGTGCCGTGATCGCTTAAGAGCCCACGGCTGCAGCAGCACGGCGCCTCATCACACCCCAGAGCCTGGACTTCCATCTCAGTTGTCATGGTTACCGGTGACATGAGGTAGATAAGCAGGTCTGCACTGTCCATGTATGGTAGAGAGTGGGTGTGTAGGAGGAACACCTGAGCAGGTGTGATTTATAAAGCAGAAACTGGGTGGAAGTAGAGCTTTATCGTGTAAGGTGCTGAGCTTAAGTGGAGTTTTAGTTTAAAACCTTCAGTCTGTCCACTCGATGTTGTTCCACCTCGTATGTTTAAGCAGGCCTTTGACAGTGTTGCTTCAGCTGCGCACACACTAATTCACTGTTCTCGTCTCTCAGGGTGTGTTCCGCTGTGTTTTAAACAGTCTATAGTGAATCCCCTTTTAAAGAAGCCAAGCCTGGATGCAACTTGCCTGTCTAATTACAGACCTATTTCCAAACTTAGTTTCTTATCAAAGGTTCTGGAAAAAGTCGTTCATGCACAGCTACAGTCGGGGTTGAAAGCACGGCATAGCACTGAAAGTGCACTTCTACGAGTGGTGAATGACATTAATGATCACTGATTCTGGCAACGCAGCTGCTTTAATGCTGCTAGACTTATCTGCTGCTTTGGACACCATTGATCATGATATTCTGTTGTCTCGATTAGAGTCTTGTGTTGGTATAAGGGGCACAGTGCTTGATTGGTTTCAGTCTTATCTACAGGACAGGTCTTTTTCTGTGGACTTGGGTACTTTTACATCACCACCTGCATCTGTGACTTGTGGTGTTCCACAAGGTTCCATTTTAGGGCCAACACTTTACTCACTGTATATTTTACCATTGTCCTCTATCTTTGCCAGACACAACATTACTTTTCATTGCTTTGCTGATGACCTTCAGATATATCTCCCACTCATCCCGGATTCAGCTGTTTCTTTAATGGCCTGCTTAGCTGATTTGAAGCAATGGATGTCAATTATTTTTATGAAATTGAATAACCTGAAGACAGAGCTTTTAGTTTTTGGCAGTGGAGACCTGTTAAAGGGTGCGGTGAGCCCACTTGTTTCCCTTTCGGATTTTGTAAAGCCTTATGTGAAAAACCTGTTTTTTTATGGATGGTTCGTTTAAATTGGACAGACAGATAAGTGCAGTGGTCCAGTCTGGTTTTTATCACTTGAGGCAACTTGCAAAGGTTAAGTGCTATTTGCCGGAAACTGTCTTTGAACATGTTATTCATCTCTTTGTCTCCTGTCGACTAGATTACTGCAATTCCCTGTACTATGGATTAGGGCATTCCTCCTTAAACCGCTTGCAACTGTTTCAAAGTGCAGCAGCCCACCTTTTAACAGCTACAAGGAAGCATGATCACATCTCTCCAGTGCTCGCTTCCCTTCACTGGCTGCCAGTGCATTACAGGATTCAGTTTAAACTGTTGCTTTTTGTTTATAAATCACTTTATGGTCTGGCCCCTCCTTATATAGATGATTTATTGTCACCCTACACTCCTGCCAGGAATTAGCGGTCGGGCTCACAGTTTTTATTGTCAGTTCCAAAGGCTCGCCTAAAGACGAGAGGAGATGGGGCATTTTCTGTGGCTGGCCCTACACTCTGGAGCAGTCTTCCTCTGCTGATCAGGACCTCAGAAAGTCTGGATGTCTTTAAGTCGTCATCGTCTTCCTCCGCTTATCCGGGTCCGGGTCGCGGGGGCAGCATCCCAACTAGGGAGCTCCAGCCCGTCCTCTCCCCGGCCACCTCCACCAGCTCCTCCGGCAAGACCCCAAGGCGTTCCCGGACCAGATTGGAGATGTAACCTCTCCAACGTGTCCTGGGTCGACCCGGGGGCCTTCTGCCGGCAGGACATGCCCGAAACACCTCCCCAGGGAGGCGTCCAGGAGGCATCCTGACCAGATGCCCAAACCACCTCAACTGACTCCTTTCCATCCAGAGGAGCAGCGGTTCTACTCCAAGTCCCTCCCGAATGTCCGAGCTCCTCACCCGATCTCTAATGCTGAGCCCGGCCACCCTACGGAGGAAACTCATTTCGGCCGCTTGTATCCGCGATCTCGTTCTTTCGGTCATTACCCAAAGCTCATGACCATAGGTGAGGATTGGGACGTAGATCGACCGGTAAATCGAGAGCCTGGCTTTCTGGCTCAGCTCCCTCTTCACCACGACAGATCGGCTCAGCGTCCGCATCACTGCAGACGCCGAACCAATCCGCCTGTCGATCTCCCGATCCCTCCTACCCTCACTCGTGAACAAGACCCCGAGATACTTAAACTCCTCCACTTGAGGTAGGACCTCTCCCCCGACCCGGAGTTGGCAAGCCACCCTTTTCCGGTCGAGAACCATGGTCTCAGATTTGGAGGTGCTGATCCTCATCCCAACCGCTTCACACTCGGCCGCGAACCTACCCAGCAAGAGCTGAAGGTCAGAGCTGGATGAAGCTAGGAGGACCACATCATCTTCAAAAAGCAGAGACGAGATTCTCCTGCCACCAAACTCGACACACTTCACACCACGGCTGTGCCTAGAAATTCTGTACATAAAAGTGATGAACAGAACCGGTGACAAAGGGCAGCCCTGGCGGAGTCCAACCCTCACTGGGAACAGGTCCGACTTACTACCGGCTATGCGGACCAAACTCACGCTCCTCTGGTAAAGGGACTGAATGGCCCTTAACACCCTATACTCCTGGAGCGTCCCCCACAGGGTGCCTGTTACAGCTACCAGCCTGGCCAGTGAGATCCAGGAGCCGGGATCACCCAGCCCCGGTGATCAGCCTGACACCGCCCCTCCTCCTCTCTTCCAGGCTGCTGAGGAGCACAGCTGAGCTGAATCCTGCTGATTACCAACACCTGGATAAAAAGGCTGTGCCGTCAGCAGTCTGAGGCCCTGTCCACACGTAGCCGGGGATCTGCCTGTCATCCACACGAAAACGGAGTTTTTTCACACGAAAACGGATCTTTTTAAAAACTCCGGCCAAAGTGAAGATCTGCGTTTTCTCCGTTTTGGGTGTCTGCGTGTGGACGGACAAAACCGGAGTTTTAAGGTCCGCAACGTCACTTTCAACGACAAAAAATGCTGACATCCCGTGTGCGACCTGTGTTTACACTAGCCGGCATCATGGAAGCCCTCAGAGCTGCGCTCTGTCACTACCCGATCCATCAATGGTCCAAGAGCTTTCTGCTTGTTTGCTGTTGCAAGCGGGATTACAGCTCCTTGCGGAAGACCACAGACGAAGGACGAGGTTAAGAACGGGGGAAGTACTGCCCCCTACAGGTCTGGCATGTCCTTAACAACGTATTTATCCGGGTACGTGTGGACAGTTTGTTTTTAAAACGCGGTGGTGTGGATGCAAGTTTTTGGAGGGGTGGAGATTCGTTTTCAAAAAACCCCGGCTACGTGTGGACAGGGCCTGAGAGGCAGCAGTGCAGGGGTTCTGCTGTCCTCCAGGTCTCATTTCGTTTTCAACCCCTTCGTTTGGATGAGTTTTTACTTTTATAGTTCAAACTTTTAGTGTGTTTGTTGATTAAAAAGGTTAACTTGGTTTGTTGCGATTTCATTGACTCCGGTTTTAAACACCTTCTGTTCGGTAAAGTTTTCACCAGGTGTGTTTATAGTTGATAAATTGTGTGACGTTAACCTTTTTGAGAGATTTTGTTTGTTTTGCATTATCTTTATAATGCTCGCCATCTGCTCGTTTTTAGAACCTTTTATTACAAATAAAACATTATTAAACTCCACTGTCACATTTCTTACGTTACCCCCTCCTTCGCATGTTAACAACTCCTGCCGGGGACGTAACAGTGCCCCTGGGGACACGGTCTGGTTGGGCAAACTCCCATGCCCCCTCCATCGCCCTTGCAAGGATGTCTTTAAGTCCTTGCTTAAAACTCATTTATTCAACCTGGCTTTTATGTAGGATGATTTTATTTTGTCATTCTTTCTCATTTTTATTGATTTTATAATTGTGTGATGTAATGCTGTTTTTATCCTAACTTACTGATTTTGATGCTTTTTAGTTATACTTGTTTGTGATTTTATCTTCTGTGTTGTACAGCACTTTGGGCAGCGGAAGCAATAATAAGTGTGCTTTAGAAATAAATGTGACCTAGACCTAGTGAGGATTCTAGTTGTACAGATGAGGCCCCTGGATGGTCTCGACGCGATAAGGCAGCTGTCAGACGGCGAGTCACGTCTAAACAGGATCTAAACTGGTCGGGTTAAATCTGTGGCCCTCAGCAGTGCCGGGTGGCGATCTGACCGAGAGAGAGCCAACCGGGCAGAGTAACAACAAGAGAGAGAGACGTTAGTAGTAAGTTAGATGAGAGGACCCGTGGAGAGTGCAGGTGAACTCCGTAAACCAACAACCCAGCGTGTTTTACTCACTCTTGTTTGGTGGTGCGGAGCTCGTCTCTGGAGGTGTGAAACTGCTCCATCCAGTGGCTGCTCTCGTCTCTGCAGTCCTCCAGCTGCTGCTGTAAGGAGCGAACTGTCGTGTTCACACGCAGCCGCTCGGCCTCGATGCCAGCCTGAGACTTCA